GTATAAAATAAGCAATCAAAAATGATAGAATGAAAAAAAAAAAGTAGAAATACAGATATTTCAGGTGGAAGCTACCTAAGATCTATTTCTTGGTTTTAATTGCCAAATTCATCATCTTAAAAGAGTTTTAAGTCTTCTTCCAAATACCAGTGCTGGACACAACATACACATTAGTATCTGGAGCTGCGATTAAATCTTGCTTTGGCACTCACCAATTTTCTTATAGGCCTCTATTGAAAGATGAAGAAAGGACATTATTTTAATGCCTTTGGAATAATACATTTATTTTTAATTCTATAGAGACTCAACTACTAGGTTTTGTGATTATGTTTCCTTCCAAAGACACAACCTTTTACTCTGGTAACTACCAATAGGAAAAGTGCGCTGCAGAGCGCTCCATAGTACCATATCGTATCTGCCTGCCCCTAAGAATCCAGCAACTTTCCTGCCACAGGACTCTTCTAATCCTGACTTTCTTCTCTTCCTGTTAGGAAACACTTCTCAGAAAAGAATCTCCTGAACATAATATACATTATGCTCTGGAAACTTACTTATTTTTGCTGTGTGGCAATTCTTTACATAGTATATGACACTTGGCTTCAAACTGAGCTGTCTTTTAGAGATTTTTATTCTGGTTTGCACAGGTGTTATATAGCCATTAAAAAGAAATCATATTAACTGGCTCTTAATTGTGTATTACTTAAAATAAAATAAAAAAATCTCACAACATTTATTTATTAGACAAACTATATTATACAACTCTTAGGAAAAAGCTTATTCTCTATACTATTAACAATTGACTATTACCTGAAGACTTAAAAAAAAATCAGCAGTAAAGCAAAACTAGGGAATTAAAAAAAAAGCCTCCCAAACTTTCCTATTTGCAAACATTTATCTGAATTTACCAAAAGTTCTAACTTTAAATACACAATTTCAGAGGTTTATGTTGACCAGACAGTAACAAAGGGAGTTAATCAAATATGAATCTTCTCCAACTGTCTTGTCAAACCAGGTAATGATGTCCTGCCAGCCAAACTCAGAGGGAACATGTGAAACAAATACAAAAGTAAACAGGCCTTAAGCTGCCCAAGGGAAAGTCAGCAAGATGGCAATTTCAATCATTTGGAATAATACTAAAGCAGCCTTAGGCTCTTCTCAGAATGGAAACATGTCACTGTTACTGCAATATTTCAACAAATCAGACTGCAAAAGAAAGGAACACTTATGTAATCACAGCCGTGGAATAGTGCTTTACTCAATGGTGAGGTGGAAAATAATTAAGAGGAAGTTCCCTTTTTGCGAGTAATTGTAAACATACCTAACTAACAAACACAAACACTGTTTCCTTAGAAATTTCAGGGAGTGAAAAAATCAAATTTAGGCACAGATTTCTTTAGTTTTGATATAGGAGGCTTTGGAACAACAAAAATAAAGTTCTATCATACAAAATAATGAACATAACGTTGCTACAAAATTTATCAAATGTTGATAGAAGTTATATTCAGAGCTACAAACAAAGCAAAAAGCATTTCAAGAACAATTCTGCTGAAAAGTTTCATTAAGATGAACGGGTTGTCATATCATTTAACTGAGAAATCAAAAAATATTTCAAATATTTGGGGAACTTACCTAATCAGTAAACTTTCAGTATGTGTCTAGTCATGTAGCCATCTTTTAGTCAATCATCAGAAAATCAAAGGCAAATTGGCATGACTCAACCCAAACTTTAATACCGCATGATTGTGTCGTGTAAGCTTGTTTTGTGCGAGGGCTGCTGTGGTTTTAGCAGAGAGATTAACGACCGGACCTAAGCTGGCCTCCAAACCTTGCCCTGCTGATGCCTCAAGTCCTTTGAAGTCTGACCATCATACCTGGCAAAACAACAGTGGGAACTAGGCTGGTGTCAGATCTAATCAAGTTTCCTGCCTCAGCATAGCTAACTATGGGGTACACTAATTGGCCCAATTGCGGATTATACCTTTTGCTACAGATTCAAGACAATAATTTAGTCAAATGATGGTTTTTATCTCCTTCTAATTAAGATTCCAAAGTGGGAAGAAATAGGATTAGACAGGCTAACTTCAAAATTGTGTCCTTTAAAGTGGTATGCACATAAGATAGATCTCTGATAATATTGCATATAATAATCTATTGCTCGTAACTAACGCGTGAAGATTTGGGAAAGTTTGATACAGCTACCGCACCTTTTACCATGAACAATAAATCCTCCTGGAAAGGGTTTAGCTCATAATTTACAAATGGAAAATGAACGCTCATAAATATTAATTAAAAACCATTTTCATCCTGAATTTTAAAAAATCCCCTTAACATACATTTCAGTCAATCTTATTTTGATGAAGAGATACAAGAAAAACTGAAACAGTTAAATGATTCTGCAGAGGCGGAGTCCCTCCCACAAAACTGCAACCTAATAAAATGGACTTGACATTTAAGGTTTTTACTGATGAGGGCCAAACCATAAAGAGTTATTTAACTGGTGAGAATCCAGAGATGAGAAAATCCATGTCCCATGCCCTTATTTTAAATGGGAAAAAGAGAATGGTCTAGTGATGAAAATCCTTTTTGGAGAAATTTTGCCATAAATCATAGGTTGTGTATTTCTAACTTAGGTAATTTTATTTTAAAGTTGCATTTCAGGTAGAGGTCAATATTTTTACCCTAAATTGTGTACATACCTAAGCAGAAGCTTTCAAAAAAGTGTAACATACTGAAAACATATTTTCATTTCATATTTAAGCTACATACTAAAGAAGTCATAAACTTAGTTGCACTTTGTATAAAGCACACTGTTGCTTGTAATGCACACTATTGTGCTGCTTTATGTTTCTACCACCAGAACCAAACCTGACTGCTGACTCATCACATTCTAACTGCAGAAACCTATTTTAGAAGACTGTATTCATATCCCTTCTTAATTCAATTTTCTCTTGTTCCCATTTTCTTACAGATCTCATTGCTCTAGTCCGCCTAGTTGTAGTCTGCCTCCCCTAATAGTACGAGGAAGAAAAACATATGTATTATAGATTAGTGAAATGTGTACTGGAAGATCACAGTAGGACAGTTCAAAAAGTGCTAGTTTGTGTCAGTCGAGCTTACAGAAAGCATATCTCTAACAAAACTCTCAAAAAAGGTTGCAGCTGATCAATGAAGGGAAAAAATATACAAGTGGGTCATCTACACATGTCTAGGGCAACAGGTTGTTTCAAGAGTTCCATAAAGCCTCTGTTTCCAACACTTCTGCCCCATGCCTAATTAAATCCTTTTTACAGAGCATCCTGCTAAGACTTTTTTTTTTCCTTCCAAATTACATTATAAATTAGAAACCCAATTATGGCTGACAGAAAAAAAATATTCTAAGTGAGGATTCATAGTAAGGAAAAAACCCCTAATATACTAAATATTCTAATTCATAGCTATAATAAATGAAAACTTACTTTACTATGAAATGAGGGTGCATGCTTCTCTGCACTTCTGATAACAGTAAGAATATTTGTATTTTAAAACCAAACACAGACTTTTAAGGATTTTGTTTCTAATGTACTGCTCAAAAGCAGTTGTTACAATGGTTTAATACCTCACAATGCCTGGTTTCACTACCCACGTTCTCTGGAAAGTGAGAAACATTACAAAGGAATGTCTTTGGGAAAAAAGCCCTCCTTCACGTATTTGCCTTTAAGTGGCTTCTGAAGAGGATACCTCTAGTTGAGAAACTTCTAGCACTCATGCAGAGATGACCTGCAAGAAGAACTGGCTGCCTGATTAACTATTAACTACTCTCAATAGGATTAGATAATTAAAGACATTGATGACCATTAATTAGGAGGAGGGCACCTTAATTTGTCACTTGATAGGGCCCTTTCAATGATTTATAGGTTAGGGCTACTTGCAATTGTGAAGGGGAGGGGGCAGTGAAGAGAGAGAACCCTTAAGTTACCTTATCAAGTGGCCAGCTAAAAAGGGCAGAGGGTCAAATAAGGGCCAAAGTGGTCACTTAAGGGTGAAGTCCCAAACACCAAAGCAGTGCCAAGCCACATTGACCATCATTTGGTGATGGAGTAAAAAATATGCTAATTTATTGGTGGCAATTCTCTCTTTTTATGGTTTCAAGCAGTTAAGACAAGTGGCCTGCTTAAGAGCTTTTCATTTGAAAGGAGATTAAACAAAATGGTTTGTCAGGGATGCTCGGCTGTTTTATGTCTTTGTTAAAAAAAAATTTGCCCAGACTGTACCGATGACTATCACATCACCCTGAAAGCTATCTTCCATCTCTAAGCATTACTTGGTTAATAAATACATCAGCTCTAATTGCTTAATAGTGCTATGTTCATTTGCTCTTTAGCAAGATTAAAATGAAATACATCTTTTGTATTACTGCCTTCTATCAGGACTGTCTGCATAAAGGTCACAGAAAAAAGTTTAAATTTAGTAGGAAATTTACTTAAGGACATTAGTGTAAATGATACTGTGTTTAAAATGACATAAAAGAGCGAAAGGTGATTTCAGTAATGCAAAGAAAATGGTTTCTGAATACTGATAAGGACACTTATCCCTCATACCACACACAATTTTAGGCAGCATTATACATTAAAATCCCTCTACTAGGGTAATAACATGTAGCTACTTTCCCACCCACTAACATAAGTAAGAGCAAGTCATTAACATTTAATTAAATATGCTCCTGACATCCTTAGAAACATGTCACCACGCTTTGTTACTGAAGGTTGTGGCCTACTTTCTATGTACATTTTAAACCAAAATAAACTATTTATAACAGACCAATTTAGTGCAGCAAACGAGACATTTTTAATTGAAAGGCATATTACAGTATTTTATAAAACCATTCTGAACAGCAAAACCAGAACGAAATGAATTTACAACATCTGATGCTTATTTTATGTATTTCACAAAATGAAACATAAGAGATGGGATTAGCTCCACCTTTTGGGTTCTAAATAGTGAAACAAAATTGTTTCTCTTACCTCAATGGTGAACAGCTTCCTTTTTAATCTAAAAGCAAGGTCCTTCGTGTCTGACACATCACAGATCAAGCTATTAAGCCGAGGAATCTGACGTACGTGAACCAAACCTTGTGGAAAGAAAGAGTAAAGGAGGGAAAAAAATTAAGAAAACGCTGTCATCCAGATGCATAAATTAGAGTCTTACAGCAGAATTCTGTATATTTACACACACTCATCCTCCCCTTTTTAAACTGGAGCTTACTACCAGGAGCAATGAAGCAAACGGTGCGATTATACTCAAGTAATCAAGCAGAATAAGATAAACAGAAATCCTTGTGCGAAGAAAACTAATTGCACTTTGGTACAGAAGTACAGATGTAAAGAGGGATCTTAATACTTGTCAAAACTACAGCCGGTTTGTGTGTGATTTTCTCTTGTATTTACAGTAAGCAAATATGGCTATCACCTTGCATGCTGCCCACGGCACCACTGAGTGATCTTTATTTTATTAAATGCACCAGTAAGCAGCCAGCAAAACAAGGCTTATGGGTTACTGATAACCACTGAAGCTCTAATGAGAAGTATTTTGTTTTGCACCTTGAAAATCACTTTAAAAAAGTTTCTGGAAAACACCGATTTAGATCTTGCTTTTCGATTAATTTTAACCCCTATGCTATCCTAGGAGAAAGAACGTTTTCTTCAGGCACGCAGGAGGCTTATATAGCTGTTCAGATGTTTTTAACAGTACTAGGTGCACTGCAAGCTCTGCAGTCTGTCAGCTGCAACTCAAGCTGATTTTTTCTGACAAGGACGCTGGATGGTTTTTGTGCAGCCTAATATAGTTTCTGAACAACCTAAGGGTGATTTTTTTACATCTGAAAACCAGGAAAATTCTACAGGGCTTCTCAATTACTGGCCTATATTTGATATTCATAAAGCCAGCATCTAAATGGAAATACTGAACATTTAGAACATCTTAGTTGAAAACGGCAGCTGTGAGAAAAATCCCAAACACTAAAACCTTAATTTAAAATAAGGCAAGTATCCATTCAGGGTTTTATTTATTTTTTTAAAAGGAAGAATAAGGGAGGAATGTTTCCTAAAAATGAAAGACTTCAAAAAGCATAATTTTAATAAGTACTAATTATAAAAATTCTCAATCATATTAGAAAAATATTTTTACACTTTGAAACCCTCAGCTCCTGCCTCCAGTCCAGTGACATATAAGAATAATTTGTTTGACCTTTGAGTTCAAAATATAATTAGCATTATATGGGAACAGCAGGTATAACACAGGGTTGCCTACATACAGTATTCTAAAAATTTTATTTAAGGATGATCTATTTAATTCTTTTGTTATTTTATTGACTTTTCAACTATTTAAATTTGCAGGCAGCTTAATAAAATTATTAATGCAGGATTCATTAAACAAGGCAATAATTTAATCAAACTTCTCCTGAGTAATGTCAAAATCTTCCATCATCTGCAGTAAATAAATAATCTTAAAATATATTCTTAAGCAAAAGGAATCCACAAAGTTAAAACCATTAAAAATACCTATTTTTAGAATGTGAAATTAAGGTTGTCTAAACCTCAAACGTATATTGGCATATAATTTTTATTAAGTAGTACCAAAAATGATTTAGCATACATTTTTAGAGGAAACCAGTGAATAACTGATAAAACACACATTGTCTTAAAGGATATCTTCAGTACTGAGAAAAGGAGTATCAAAATGACAGAATTATGTTAGCATAAACAAATGCCACGTTACGATTATACAGTTGGAAAAATAATTAGGCAAATTATTATAGCTTTTGTTCATGGTTTATTTTTCATTCACGTTTTTTCAGATAATGAAATGTGCACTACTTTCATAGTAAAAAAGATTTTTCTCCGATTTATTAATTACAGCCTGCATACACACAGTGGTGTCTCAACACCATCTTTGCTTCTTTTTCTATATATTCTGCTGTGGAAAACACTGCCACACTCTCACATGTTTACAGCAGGTTTGAGAGAAGCAGTTTACTTTCAACTAAAGGTTTCCATGGAACTACAGTAGTATCACAATAATAATAGCTGTAATTTATGCACACTCAGACCACTGCTCTGGATTAGCTAAAACTGTTTGTTATTCATTGCTTTGGCTATGCATAACTTCTAATCTAATCTTCTAAAACGTAAATAGTTTGGCTGCAACAGCTAAAAAAAATCTTTGGGAAACAAAATGCAAGATTAAACACCGTTACACATTTTGAAGATAAACCAATTGAAAGGCTACATGACTTTTAACCAAAATTAGTTTCATATTTTACATGCCACACATATCCACATTAATTTCTTTAAACGCGTAAGTGCCGTAACTTAAAGCTGAAAAACAGAACATTATTTTTATATAAAAGTTTATATAGCACATCATTTATAGCAGTTTATTCACCTTAATATAATATATGTTTTTCCATGTTCTCTATTTAAAACTTGGCAGATCAAAAGTATTGATTTCATGACAAGTTCAGCTCACTGGTCAGATGATTGCCAAGCCTCCTCTGCATGTGAATTCCCCAAAGCCTGCCTGTTGAGATGTACATCTGATTGAGCCATGCCTCAGTAATACGGCTTGACAACATGCAAGGAGTTGCCATGTTTCCTTTGCAGCCTTAATGCACTTTACTGAGAATCCTCCTAACTCAAGACTGGTTAGTAAGGAGAAGCATTTAAGAGGTATATTCTAAAATGAAATCAAATGCTACTTTATAGCAGATACCCAATTGGAGGGTAAGCCGCTAAGTGCCCTAGAAATACTCAGGGCAGACTTTTTGCATTGCTAAAGATGGAACTTACCGTGGTAATCCTTGTATAGTGGATTGGTTTCTCTCTCAGAGCCAATAAATGATTCAAGACCAACTACTATATCTGACAAGTTTGTTACACGTTCCATAATTGCTTTATTCTGTAAGACACGGAAACAAAATACACATCCTATGTGATGAAAAAGGTAATTAATGTTCCTTGAGTAAGCCTTGGTCTTCTCAATGACAAACTGCAGGGAAAAAATAGGTCATCAATACTTCAAAAATTACATTAGAGGACTTTTTTCTTTAAAAAAAAAAAAAAAAAAAGACCTGAAATTTCTGTCTAAAGAAAACATACATTTGACAAGCACAAGCCATAAAAGGGCTAACTCAGCACTACATTAATATTTTCCTAAATCTTCATAATATAAGCTTTTGCTCTCATCAGAGATATTTAGAAGCTACGTGGCAGTTAAGCCCCTCTCATTGACTTTACTGTGAGTCAGATGTCCAGCTTTTGTTTGTGCTCTGGAAACTTTGGTTTTTAATACACTTAGGCATATCACCTCTAGTATTCTGAGCAAGCACAACCCACACAATTATTCATTTTGGTCACCAGTCAAACAATGTGGAAAACCAAAGCATTTTCTCCAGTATTTTTCTTTCTAAAAGCTCCCCTCTACACAACATATGAATCTAAAGCTTCAAGTTGCATTACCATTTCTCAATATATTTGTGATTCATAAGTGATGCCTTATATCTTCTGCAACAATGTGCTGTCATATGCATTAAATAAGCTGTTTTCCGCAGTTTTCTTTACTTAATTTTATATAGCAGAAAGCAACATTCAAAGGTCACAAAAGAGATCCTCAGAGGTAACTCAGGATAAAATCTTCTTAAATGCTTTGATGATGTCCGTATTTAATGAGCAAAAAAAGGATACAAATCTGTGCTAAAAAGCAAAATATTTCTTTAAGATAAGAAGTAGTTATCTTAAAGCTGCCTGGACAGCTGGTATACTCTTGTTCTTGATGGCTGTAGGTGCTATATTCATCATACTTTCAGGGGTATCAAGACCTATCACCTCAAAATACCCATTCCAAGATTAGTATTATATCTGTAGCTCCAAGTCATAGTTTTGTATTTTTTATTAATTTTAAAGCATTTGGTACATTCTGCTCTTCTTTCATAAACTATACAATTGACGCTCATTATGAAAGGTCAATTTAAATACTGGTAAACTATTGATAATCACAATTTATAAAGTTCTTAGGAGCAGAAAGAAGAGAAATATCCCTAGATATGTTAGAAAAGGCTATGCACTGTACTGACATACAGGTTTATTAAAATGGTGGTCAATACACCAATTGCTTTCATGAACCCACATTTCAATAACAGTGTATTTCCTAGACACAGAGAAGCCTTTGAAGCAGATGGGAAAGATGAACATTTCCCACTCCCAACAAAGAATAATCTGAATTCTTCTTTTCTGAACACTACAGAAAGTAACTTGTGGCCTGTCCTGCACAGTCCAATCTGCTCAGGATACAAGGCCTAAATCCACCGATCCCATGGTACCTTTGCACCCCCTCCTTTCCCCACCTTATGGACCAGATGGCATTAAATCCTGGGGACTGGTCTCTTTTCAAAGCTGCTACTTGTACAGAGGCCAAAATGATCTATCCCCATGGAATTGGGGAACTTCAATTTTACCTACAAAGTCTAATGACAGATGATGATAAAATAGTGTTATACTACAGAGTTTCCTTTCTGAGAAATAACATTGGAGGTAAAAGAACGCTGCCTACACATCAATCCCTAAACTTTGTTATTATATCCACCCCTGAAATATGAAAGCTGACTCACAAATTTTTTCCTCTTCTAGGAAAAGAAAGACAGTATACTATATTTTAACAGAAACTTCTGGTCACATTATTCTACAGGGGGAATCAGATACAGACAGTATAAATATAAATCTGAAGTAGCCAGTGACCTCTATAAATCACTGACCAAAAATTACTGTATTTTGCCAGTTCTTCAGCAGGCTGCTGGATGTTACTTGTATAAGCAAGAAATACAAAATTGTTACATAAATAAATAAACACCGATGACTTCTAGAAGCTAACCTAAACTCTGGGTATAGAAAAAATATTTTAACATTTGGAAAAACATTTGCTCTCCATTAACGTTTTTGCTTGCCGGTTTTGATAACAATGGGTTCTGAAAACTGTGGATAGAAAGATGCTCAACCATCAGCAAGATATCCTCATCATTAACAGTCCTGCAAATCCCAAGAATCGTATCTTTCCTATTTGGTCTTAATTCTGGAAAGATTAAAGCGACGGATAGCAATTCAGTATTTCCCTAATGATACATACTTCAATATGTTGGTTTCGGCTCTTCTTCTGAACAGGTTTGCTTTCTTAAATTGTAGTCTGTTTGCCCATGTTGATTACGTTTTTGTTTTTAAAGTGTGTCAAAATATTCTTCTGGCTTAATGCAGTGTATCTTGGGAAATATTTTGCACAGTGAATCGCCACACCAAACAGACATTTGCTTATGTGGCATTGTTGCCATAGATCCGTATCTATCATGTATTTTCTAGTTTGCAGTGCTCAGCACATTAACGTCCAATGAAAGCTGACGTCAGCACACAGATAGTTGTGATGTATGGCATACTGACATAAACACACAAATCATGTTGCCCCATCTGGGCTTGAAAATTTAACAGAGCTCCAGATCTTCCTCCAGCCCCATACAAATCTACCTCCTGCTTCTGGCATAAACTTGGCAGCTCTGGAGATGAGCCAGGACATGGTTAGGAGGGAAGCCAGGAATGGGGAGATTCAGGGAAAGCGTTTGTTGGCAGCTAGAAGAGGTATTGTTTTAAATTACACTAAAAAATAATAATAAAAAACCCCAACCCAGTCCTGGAAAGTTTACAGTCTTGCTAGATGTACAGCAGTTTTTCTAAATTAGTCAGTTCAGCCAAAATGTAATTATTCTAACAACATGGTAGCAACCCTGTTGTGCAGTCTGGGCTGGGCATCCATTCTATATCTTACTTTGTTCTCACTGTTTTAAACAGACATTTTCTTTTAAGAGTAAACTTGCAATATTTGAGCTCAACCAAAGTGTACTTTCAAAACACCGTCTCAAGAAAAATCCATGTAGCTAGTTGGATATGTACATATATGTTTAACCAGTTTTTGGGAAGGGCAATTATGGAAAAGGATTGCTTTGTCCTACTAATTTATTTGCAGAATCTACACAGCTTTAAGTAATTATTTGTGTGTTTTTAAAAATACTTATTTACAAATAAGGCAGTTCAAAATGTATCATCTTCTGTGTCTGCATATAAAGCATGGTATTCTACCCAAACAGATATATATGTATAGCCTGTACGCTCAAACTTACATACTGAAATTAATACTGTGCGTTTCTACTGGATTGAGTTCTTAATGTACCGCAATTTTATCATTACTACAACTTATCAAATCAATCTTGGTTCATCTGGAATCCATATTAGGAAAAAAATCTGTCTTTTCTACTCTGCTCTAATTTCTAGCTCTCCTCTGATTTTCTGTCAAAATTTTCCTAACATACAGAGATATGTCCTCCCATTTTTAGTTTGTCAGTTTCTAAAGAAATTAAAAACTTCACAAAATTTACATAATAAAAATATTTATATTCTCAGTCCTTGCACTGCATTAAGTAAACACAAGTCACAGAAAGGAAAATTTTCTTAGAATGGCTTCAACTTTTCTACATAGTACATATAAAAAAATCTCAAAATTTAAAAGGAAAATAAGAGAGTTATGTTAAAGATCTACAATGAGATCCAGCTAGCACTTGTATAAATACATTAACTTCTTGAATCACATGGGCTTCATATATTTCCATTTGTATTCTGATCAATACATTAACATAATTTTAATACTGATTTATATCTTGAATTGAAAACAAGGTATTTTAAGACTATGTCTCTCATCAAAGAGACACTAGGCCTGTATTTTGGTAGAGGGTTGTATTTGACTTCTGTACCTTTACATTCTGGTAATCTAATTCCATCACTGAACATTTAATTAAGAGTTAATATATTGAATCCCCAAACAAGTTTCATTATCTAACAAACTACTTCAAAAAAACCTGCTAGCACTGGGACAAAAAACTCAGTTTAAATGGTAAGTTGCACACATTCCATATGACAGCACATAATTTAAAGATGAATTCAGATATTCCCCACAAGTCTAGGTAAAACTGTTATTTTAAGCAACAATTTGTGTTGTTACCAACAGGTAAATCCAGTAATCTTGACACTTCATTTGAAAGAACGTCTCAATAATAAACAGCAAACAAGTTCATGCAAAGGAACATGAACCTTATGAACTCAATGCAAATTTTGGTGTGTGTATTTAAAAAAAAAAAAGCTCAAAAACTGGTTGTGCCTTTTTTGTTTCTGTTACATTCTGTCATAAAGCTGAAGTAAGCTTAGTACTGTAATGCAGGCAGCCACACTGGACTATAATAAAACACTGGATGGTTATTAAATAGGTGAAACAATTCTTGATATTTTCTGAGATATTATCAAACAATGATGTGGTAATAACTTCACAATAGACAAATATTTACCACTTGCCATTACTACTTAATCTCCAAAGGATTTTAAATTAAGAAGATAAATTATTAATATTAAGAAACATAGCTTAAATATTTATCAACATTTGTTAATAATTACTGCTCAGAAAAATCCCAGAATTACCCATACATTTTATTTTGGTAAAAGAAGTTAGGTATTAGGCCCTTGTACTAGCTTTACAGAGAGATACAGTTTGTGCACTTTTTCATTATTCACAAATCCTGAAAATAAAAGATTAATAACGGCCCTGCCAAAATGTGTTATATCAATAATTAACAAAGATTGTAAAGTATAAAATGCTATACTCATTCTGACTCCAAGTTGATTAGCACTGTTCTCAGCACTTGCACACACCAAATTACTAACTGAACTTTGAATTCTGATTCTAAAATGAATGCACACTCAGACCACTGACATATAAGACGAGTAACAATATATTAACAAATTCTGATATGTAGAAATCTGTATCAATATCCCAAGAAAACTGAATACAAGCATGATGTCTGCTGGAAGACAGAT